CATCGAAAAAAGATTCAGATCGAGTACCCACATTAAGTAGAACTTTAAAGCTACGTTAAACGAACAACGCACTTAGACAAATTAGACTTAAAATGAGTAATGCTTCATCTTACATTGAAGCAGTTCGATGCGCACATCAGAATGAACTCTGTGATCCAAGAAACCGGAATGTGACAACAATGACATGCAAGCATTAGAGAAGTTTGAGTAGAGCAACCAACAGAAGTCAGTCCGTTAGTGCAACGGTCCTTATAGCGAATACGCGGTACCGATGACGATGATTATGGTGTCATCCTCGCACCGCATGTACGATCCCCAACTTACGCTGAGCTTATCACATAGCTACAGGAAGTTAAAGCTAATAACGATCCTACCTTTTCTTCGAAACGAGTCGTTAGCATTCGATATCTATCGGCACACAGAAACGCTGGATTTTACTTGACAGTCAAATTTAAAATTAGAAACGATTCTCCATACCTCCGAGAGTGAGAAAGATGATACGCATTCGATTCTCGGCTTTCAGAGACGTAATCGGCTAAAATTTTAAGCACACGACGCAGTGTTGTAGTATCCAGTTGACGCCTGTTTTCATGGATTTAGATTACGCAAATGACATCAACTTGTTAATTCATTCCTAAGAATTTTGCCAAAGCATCCTCAGCCTTCAGTGATACCTATCATATGCTACAACTACAAATCACTCACCATGGACGAAAGCAGAGAATACAGGAAGAGCAGCATGCAACGCCAATGTTCAGAAGTGAGTAACCAGACATTTAGAGGTTAAGCAATTCCGCTCCCGCGGAAACTCAAATAACTGCCCAAGATCTGCACACCCGTGGAACTCCGTTGTTTCAGTCTGGCCACAAAAAACTGTCGCGCATCTAGTCATCGATCGCTCAGCAGCAACACACTAAGTTCAGAGCTGCGTCGATTCTGCTTCATGAAGTCTGAAGTCTTAACGTTGCAGAAGACGGATGCTAGTGACGTGCAGGCATTCCATATGAATATTTATGCAAAAACAGCTTAACATCACGTGATGTGATTTCATCTAAACGTTACTTGCACTCAACCCAACGGACTGCCCCCTATCGCTTACATAAACGGTCTTCGTAATACCGCAAATGTACCTCACCAGGTCAGGTGACGAAAGTATCAACAAATTCTTTTTTACACTTCGCTTGGAAAGAACTGCTGACAATTTTCGTAACAGAGTCTCGTGGACACTTTCCTGGCCGCGATCCCGATATAGACCGTGAGATACATGGTCAACATACCTTGATCGAACAAGAGCGCCTATCATGGAAAAGTTCCGGCATCGTCAAAAACCGCAGAGCTGGCGCAGTAGAATGTCGACCAAGAAACAAATGACTGAGTAACTATGATCAGGCCAAGCAACACTTGTCATTACAAGTATCGCCTCATGAATAACGCCTTGAGTGTGATGATACAGACTGAAACGAACGCAGCATTATGAGCAAGAGTAGTTAATGTCCATGCACATGGATCAAGGGAAATAACATGCCCACTGATACAAACTTCGGCTATATTAGGGGCACATGTGATCCCAAATCGAATTTGCTAACACAGTAGAGAAAGGAAAGAAAAGCTATGGATACGAAAATGCGGAAGATGGAGTCAAAGCTGCCTATATCCACAATGGAAATGAAAACATGAGAGGAATTGCACTGCTCACCAAGGTTAGAAGTATCTGCAACTGCCACCACATAAGAGAAGCGCACTGTCTTGGTCTTGGTAAAAATCGACAAGAGCGCTGGCTCCAGTCAAAGTAATTGCAGATGACGATACACAAAAGAATTTTGGCCGCATGTGGCCTCACTTCATACAGATCACTGTGGAACCCTATACAAAAAGCAGAATAACTCCTCGCAATGAGAACATGTAAACAGATAATCATCTGTTGAATGATGAAGGTATGAACAATAATCATAATAAAGAACGACTTCTTCTGATGGGTATACGGCCAAAAGATAGTGATCACGCGTGAAAGATTTAGAATATCATTTTAGACCTTCTGGCAGGTAGACGTTTCTGAGCTCTACAAACTTTCTCAGACGAATTTGGCGATTTTAATGAAATCACACAACATACAATAAAGTAACTTGAAGATGTGCTCATCTGCACTGCAGCGTATTAAATGTTCTGGACACAACGAACACAGAAATGTAACATTCGGTCACCGTGGTTTTTCTGCATAAAACATATTCCTGGCGAATAACAAGGCTGAGGAAACAGCAACTGTGACCTTTATTTCCATTGCTGTTCTGTTTATATGCGTTGCAAAAGTTTCACTAAATTTACTGACAAAAATTCAGTACGCAATCATTTACAGTCCTACTGTTTGCTCAGATGGCGAACGGCGAATAACGACTCAAACAAGTGACGACATAAAAGAATGAATCCTTGTAAAGTTTTCTCAATTAATTGGTACCTACCGACCTATCCAGAACATGAAAATGGTTAGTCAGCGAGGCTATATTGAGAAGGTGAGAGCAAGTGAATACGCACTCATGGTTATCTCTAGGTTTTTTCCACTCCCACAGATCGTAGTAATACTTCTGAGGACTCTACACTGGAAAGGGGTCAATCAGGTAAGCAGCTACAAAGCCTGTCACAATGGAATAGGTACTTACGACAATGACACCTAGGAATTACTCAAAAACTAATGACCTTGTGAGACCCTGACAATTACTCAAAGCAATTCATTACATTAATCAAACACTGCCGGTAGTGACCGGTACGGGAACGTGCCCCGTTACCTTCAGATGGTAAACTTGTAATGCGAAGAGTGATGCTTCGTAAAACTGAAATAAATTATATTCGCAACGATGGCGCTCGAAACCAAATTTGTGATGAATTTTTATGGTTTTGTAATACAACCAATTAACTGGCTCAGTTCTGGACTGCACCCATGTGTGTTTGTGTGGTCAACACCTTAAACAGTGCGCATAAACATAACGTTTTTGGTTTGTAATGCTAACTGTATCCGCAGATTTACAACCTTTGCTATAAATCACCGGTTATTGCTTCGTAGATGGAACAGTTCCCCCTAAAATTCAGATTTTCTACTTTATTACTCCCGACTGCTTGCTGTTCTTCCAACCGACATTTGCCGGGTTTCGGCTGCCACGCGAGAAGCTGAAAGCACGTGCACATGGCTTATGCTCAATCAGTTTGTCTACGAGAGTTAACCTCCTTGTCTTAAACTCCTCATCTACAGCGCACACATGCATCCGGAATAGGATACAGTTATCCGTTGGGTTATTCTGTCATTTAACCCTCATTATGTGTTTAATCCAACGTGGATACACACCGTTTAACCGTCGTTTTTTGGAATAGCGTTAAGACAACTGTTTCTACGCCAAACAATAACCCGAGTGGTCTGCAGTCACAGTTTTGTACCATCCCGCCGTTCTACAGGATGTCTGAATCATCAGCTAGGAAAGGAGTTTTGCGGTAGCAAAATTACCATCAACCCGATATGCTCACGCTGGGGAATTAGTTTGCGGGAGACACGTTAGCAGTGACACCGCTGAAAGATCAAACTGCTCGCTAAGCAACACACCCAGGTGAAGTTTAGACAAACCACTATTACCATACGAGGCGGAAGCACGAATGCGACACTAACTACGCAGCAACATGCTTATTTTTAACAATATTACAAGAGAAACATGTAATAAACCAGCAAACAAACTTTACTCTTTCGGGCTTTCTTATGGGCACTCCATCATGAACCCATTCAATATGTTCATCAACGTTCAAGTTCATATTGCAAGCAAGGTCCAATGAATGACTCTCGGTCGCATTCTCATTCAACTCGATTGCGTTTCCAAATTCTAATGAAAAACAGTCAATGAATGATACCGTTTATACAATGGTTACAACAAATGAAAACTGTAATCTGGTAGGTCAAAAACTACGAGCCAGGAACCGTATTAAGGATGACATTTTTGTCACTGTAACGAAAACATTAAAAAATATTTAAAATTTAAGAAAAGGAAAAGCTACCTCAAAACAAGACCCTATATAATTAAAAATGAGATAAAAAAGACTTTATTGTGCGTCTCAGATATTTACCACAGTAACCTTAAAAGTGTCACAACTTCATTCCACTGTCAAACATACTTTTGACAGTGGAAACAAACTGCAACCGGTCTTGCTTCCTTCAGTTAAACGATTTGATGTTGACAACAGAGTTCGCGAAAACTCAAGCCATCTGCTAACGCTGTCTAACGATGGATCATTAGAAGCTTCGAAAATGAATATATCCTAAGATGCATAATCCAACATAACGACAGATTAAGCTAATGACCTTTATCTAAAACGATCGCTGTATCCACTTTGACGTGGCTGATCAATCCGTATAAGAGCATTAAAACTTACCACTTCATTTCCAGTACATCAAGG